TTTTTTTGTCAATCCTTTTTTTTCCTGGCCATATAATATATAATATTTATAGTAGAAAAGAAAAATATAATTAAACACCGGAATGGCCAATAAAGAATTTCATTTGATAACAAAAATAAGAAAACAAGAATCTGGTAAATTGAGATAGATGGATAGATAGAGAGAGAGATATAGAGTCAATGTTTTTTTTTCAATGTGGAAAACTTGAAAATAGTGAAAAAAAATTCTTCACTCATTCATTCAATCAATCAATCAATGATTTGGTTGATTGAAAATCATTCGACCATATATTCAATCAACAACAACAACAAAAAAAATTTCAATTGAAAAAAATGGGCCAAAAGATTGCCGATAATAATAATAATAACGGTTCAATCGTTTTTACATCTCATCTTTAGTTTCGATTAGAAATTTCAATTTTTTTTTCTACAACAACAATTTAGAAATGAAATCACCAGATTGCAGCACGGCGAAAAAAATCGATAATTTTAAAATCATTTTTTTTGTTGAATCGGTTATTGATGATTTATTGATTTGAATGCCATCACCGGAAATGGAATGGCATTCATTCAATCAATCAATCAATCAATCATTTTTTTTGCTGAATCAAACTTGAACCAATTTCTTCATTTTTTTTTTCTTATTGATTAATTTTTAAAAATCATTGATCCAAGATCATTCTAACAATGTCAACCGAAGGCAAAAACAATATTCAATTCAAGGAATCTAATATATTTACTTACCATCGAAATCTTTTTTTTGCTTGAAAAATTTTCTGATCGACATTTTGCCGTGTTGATGTTTTGTTATTTGTGGGTGGATAGAAAAAAAAAATTCAAAAATCAATGAAAACACTGCAAACACAACACACACACACAAACATTTGGGATTTAAATCAAAAAAATCAAAAAACACATTTGTTGCTGAAAACTTTTTTTTCATTTTACTGATGATTATTGCGACAATTTTTATTTTTTTTTTTTTGGTCGATGTAAAAATGAAACACACACACACAAAAAAAAAAAAAAAGTCTATTTACTTTGTCGTACGTACGGGTTTTTTTTCCAGATGATTTTATTTTGTTTATTTGGTTTTTGCACACGGTTTTCTAGGACACGTACGCACACACACACACACACACACAACATCACCATTTAAAGACGATTATCATCATCATCATCATATATATCGTATAAAACTATAAAACCTGAGAAATTTTTTTTTTTTGCAAATGAAATGAAAAATTTTTTGCCAGATTTTAGACAAATTTCTTGTTGTTGATTATTATCAGAAAGAAAGAAATAAAGAAGAAGAAAAAGAAAATTATTGCCGTTCAATGGTTGATTGATTGATTGATTGGTGATTAGTTGAAATGATGATAAATGCCAATAATGATGATGATGATGAGCAGTTTCACTTTACTTTATTCACAATATTTTGATGGCATAAAAGAAATTCAATACACAAATCAACAACCAAAAAAAAAAAAAAAAATCTTTGTTCTTAGTTCTGGGTTTTTTTCTGGTTGTGGTGGTGGTGACGAATTTATTTTTTCAAATTTATTTCACTCGGATCATCATCATCATCATTGAATTGAATTGAAATGAAAATGATGAAAAGAGATTGTTGTACGTTACATACGTCATAAATAAAAAAAATTCGTTTTGTTTTTGAATCATTTGATCATGATGATGATTTTCATTTTCATAATTTTCATTTTCATTTTTTCTTCACCATTTAGATTTGATGATGCTTGTCAGTCAGTCAGTCAGTCAGTCAGTTTGAAATGAGATGAATGATGATAAATTTTTTTTTTGTTCACATTTGTAAACGTAAATCAATGTAAAAGTGCGAGAGTGAGGAAAAAATTGAATACATTTTCCCTGGATTGAATTTGTAATTTTATAAATCTTTACATATTCATCATGTTTGTTGCAATTTATAAATTCAAATTGTATTGATTGGTTATTGATATTTAGTCAATCAAAAATCGATAGATAACAACAAATCATTGATCAATGAATCAATGAATTAATCGATTCATATATTTAAAAAAAAAATGATCCTAAATAGAGTTCGGGATATAGCAAAAAAAAAAAAAGTGAATGAATGAATGATGAGAAAAATTTTAAAATCAAACAAAAAAAGATTTGTTAATCACTAACTACTAAGGATCTTAACAACCACCAGAAAATAAAGAAAAAAAACTACTAAATCCTAAAGAACCAAAAAAAAAAAAAAAAAGATATGAAATGATTATATCACATAGGATTATTGTGTTGTGCACCACCACTACAACCACCACCACTAATGTGGCCACATCATTACACACATATTTATCAATAACAAACCAACCAAAAAAAAAAAATGCAACAATTATCATCATTTGGCTTCGTGGTCTCATCTCAATGACACACACACACACACACACACACACACACGTAAACAATTAATATAAATTTGATGGATAAGAAATTTCCAAAAAAAAAAAAAAAAAAAATGTAAAGAAATCCAAATGATAATCATCATGATTATGATTATCTTAATCACATCAAATCGACCGACATATCAATTGTAATAGCAATGTGTGTGTGTGTGTGTATGAGCCATGTACAATGTCCAAAATGGATTGGAATAAATTATTATTATTATTATTACATTTGATCAAAAGAGGAAGATTTTGTTAGACAAAAATCAATCATAAATGATATGAATGTTGTTGTTGTTGTGTGTGAACAAAAAAAGAGAAAAAGGAAACAGAAAAAAAACAACGTTTCAATTACATGCAAAAAAATTGGTGTCTATTTTTTTTGATTTGCCACTGTTAAAATAGGCGATGTATTGATGTATTAATGAGTATGTATGTCATTGAGATATGAAGGCTTTAATGATTGACATTATTTCAAAAAAAAAAAAAAAAAATTCTTTGAGAATTTCATTTCGATGTGTGTGTGTGTTGATTTAATTGATTTCATCAAAGCATCAAACATTTTCATCTTTATCAATAGCCACAAGTGGATTGATGATAATGATGATGATGATGATGATGATTAGAAAAATATTCACTCATTTATAATTCATGACAGCAACGACATCATTCAGTGGTATGTAGTTGTTGTTGTTGTTGTTGTTGTTGATGCTGTTCTTCAAGAACTTGAAAATTTTCATTTTAATTTTTCTTCAATGATGGTCATTGGAATTTGTTTATCATAAACACGGCACACACATCATTGATTTATCGGATGCAAAAAAAAAATGGTCAAACGAAAACGAAAACAGAAAAAAAACCATTTTCAATCTGTAATGGATCATACACAAATATATATCACATATACAGGTGGATAGAACAAAAAAATTTAAATGAAACAACAGACAACAACAACAACAACAACAACAACAGAGAGAAGAAAATTGTCAAATCATATTTTTTCGTAGCCAAAAAAAAAAAAAAAAAAAAACAAAACGGAAATCACCATACCAATATGTATACGGTATACAATAAAACAATTAATGTTGATGATGATAATGATGATGACAAATAATTAAATGAAAATGAAAATGAAATGTTTTTAATTATCAACAACAACAACAACAACAACAACAAAACAACAACAAAAACAACAAGTTCTCTTGATTTCCATCATCATCATTTCTCTCTCTCTCTCTCAATTCTCAATCAATGTGTGTGTGTGTAGCCACAAGTTACACTTGAAAAAACACACACACACACACGTACATCATTTTAAAAATATAAAAAATCAAATCAACAAACGTTGTTGTTGATTCTATGAATATCTTATGCTGTTGTCGAGGACAAACATCATAAATCAAGCATCAACACACACACACACACACACACACACACACATGTGCAGGATCTGATTGATCATTAAATAATTGTCATCAATAATTGATTCCAATTGAAACGAACGAAAACGATGAAAAAAAATTGTACATTTCTAAAACTGATTCGAAAATTCGATATTTGATCGGTTTGTTTGTGGAATCAAAACATTTGAATTTCATATATCCATTTTGATGATGGCTAAATTGAATTGACGTCATTCATAGTAGCAATTTTTGCAATTATTATCGATATGACGAATGACAACTACGACGACGACGACGACAACGACGACAATGGACCGAAAGATTTTTTTCTTTACTTTTATTTTTTTCAATAAATAAAATTCAATGTTAAAAATATATCATGTCAACAGGTGTTTGTGAACATTTTCACATGCTGCCGCTGCTGCTGCATCAGATATTTAATTTAATTTTTTTTTGTGTGTGTGTGTCAAATACGAAGAAAATTTGAACGAATTTATCTGCCATTTTTTCGTCGTCGTCGTCGTCGTTGTCGTTGTCGTTGTCGTTGTCGTCGTAGTAGTAGTTGTTGTTGTTGTTGCTGATCACCTGCAAACATATTTTTTTGCCCAATCAATCAGATTTTCAGATGAAGTTTTCAATGAACCTTGAATCTTGATTATTGATGATGATTGTTGTTGTTGATTTGGAATAATAATAATAAGATATTCCAATATTGAAAAAAAAACAAAAATGTTTCTCCATCTGAATGGACAGAAATGACATGAATATATTCCATTTGACAATGATGATCAATTCAATTCAATGATATCGATTTTGTTTTTTTTTCACGCCACAAATAATGAAAATTTCGAAATTTTTCAAATGATATTGAAAAAAAAAGATTTGCTTTATATATAAACAGTGTTTGTTATATAGCAATAAAACTTTACCTTTGGAATCTTTTAGCATCAACAACAGTGATGATGATGATGATGAGATAAATTGATTCGTACACTGAACTCGAAAGCCAATGATGGCAACGTTTGCACATTGATTTACTACATATCGATAATTCGCGACAAAGAGAGAAAACTTTGAAATTGAGAGAAATAAACAATGAAATAAAAAACAATGATGTGAATGAATGATTGATTGATTGATTGATCGATCACTTGATTTTGGATCTTGGAAGATATATTTATTTATCATCATAGAAAGAAAGAAAAAAAAATTCAAAACCATCATCATCAACATCATCATGACATATATGAACGGAACAAATGAGCACCTGTTTTCGAGTAATTTATTCTTGATGTTTCAAATTCGTTCAAAATGAATCTAAATTCCATTCGAGGTTTGTAAATTTTTTTTCAGAATTTTTCTTTAGATTAAAATTGGTCAATTTTTCAGAAACGAGTTGCAACAAGTGACTATTGTGCAGACAGTGCTGATTAATTTGTTTTCCAACATCAACAACAACAACAACATGTAGATTTAATTCAAATTCTCATCAATCAAAAATGATGATGACGATGATGTTTCAATCGGAATGGAAGATAAATTCAACACTTAAATTCTGTGTAAAAAATAAAAACAAAAGTAATAAAAAAAAAATTTCATCTTGCTTATCATTGTTAAAACAAATCAACAACAACGACAACAACAACAAAAAACAAATGAATTTATTCAAATGATAATAACGATGAAACAATGACAAAGGATGGGCAAATGATTATTATTATTATTATCAATCGTTGGTTCCATCAATCTGCACTTTGGAGGAGAAGAAGAAGAAGAAAAAAGAAATTCAAATCGCCATACATACAAACATGTACATTTTGTGAAAACAATTCCAGCAAACAAAAAACTCATAAAAAAAACAATCAATTGATTCACCTGGATGCCTCATTAATTTTCCAACATCATCATCATCATCATCATCATGATTTTGTGCTGAAAAAGAATGGAAGGTATGAGAGAATGAAAATGAAGCTGAAAAAATAACAGAAACATTGCTGTATACGCCTTGGCGCCCAATCAATTTATTCATTAGGAATAAACAAAAGCCATCGCTACCATGATATAAAATCAATGATAATAATCAAAGCTACTATACTTCAAAAACACACAGACGACAGACAGATATTGAATGTTTACCCAAAATTTTTTTTTTTTTTTTTTTTGTAGAATTGTCGTTTTGATTGGTTTTTTTTTCTGGTGGTTGCCTCACTCTAATTGATGATAATGATCTCGATTCTCGTCTATTGTGGGTTATTATTATCGTTAAAATGTATTTTTAATCTTTATATATTTATTTTATTTTTCATGTTTTCAATTAAGGTTAGTATATTGATATTGATAATGTATTGATTTTCAACAATTTAATTGCAAAATTTCTTTGTTTTTTGTTTTGTTTGGCAACAGATTTTCACTCTAAATCGCAATCAATTTATGATTGTATATGTATTACATACCGTTTATTGGTGATTCATGGCTAGTTTTCTTTTTTGGTTTGATGGACAAAAAAAAAAAAAAAAAATTTTTGTTGTCTTGTGTTGAACTTTTAAATTTTCCAAGTACAGAAAAAAAATGTCTATCAATGTAATTTCTGTCTGTCTGTCTGCCTACTTTTTTAGCCATGATTAACAATGGAAATAATCGGAAGATTATCAATTTTTTTTTTTTTTTTTTGGTTATCATCACATAAGTAAACCAATAATAATAAAAAAATTCTCCCTCATTGATTTATGCGATAAATATAGAAATACTTGAAAATCAATCGGTATTTCTACTGTTTTTAATTTGATTTTTGATATATAGAGATGATTTTATAAATCCAATGATAAAAAAAAAATTTCTAAATCCAATGACAATAATGTTTTTGCCATCTAAGAAAATCTCTGCTTTGGAAATGTGGATAATCAATGAACAAATTGATGAATCGAAACTTTTAATTTTAATCGTATAAATTCTTTGGAACATTTACACACACAGATCTGAATTGATTTAGGTGATGGAGAAAAATATTACATTCCAGAATCTAGGATTTCACAATCTGTCCTTGTTTCGATTGATTTGTAGCCGATGATGATGATGATGATGATTGTTGTTGTTGTTGTTGTTGAGCAGCCATTTGTGCCATTACTAATTGTTGTTGCCGTTGTAGACAACTTTGTCGTACTGTACCTTTTTCTTGCATCGATTTAACAATTTTATCCATCTGTGTATTTAAAAATTGAACTTTACGATTAAAATAATCGATTGATGATTTACGATCACGTTCGATATAATAACCAGTGCCAATATCCAATAGAAATTCATTATTATTAACAGTACGACCAGGTACATAAAGTGAAGGTGTCAATGGTACCATTATTTGATTATCATTTGGTAATTTTTCAAATGATTCAACCGTTTCAAAACAACCAACAAATTTAGTTTTAGCATTATGTAAATCGACAATTGATTTTTCAAGAATTTCAATTTCCTGTGGTGAAAGTATAAAAAAAGAAAGACAATCAGAATTGGTTTAAATTTTTTTTTGTTGAATTTACCTGATCCAATTGTTGTTTGATTGCATTTATCTGATATAAATTCATATCATTTATATTTAGCTCAATCTTTTTCGGTTGTTGATTTTTTGTTGATGCCATGTTTGATTTGTCTATAGAAATTTTATTTCAAAATTGATGATAAATTTTTGAAAGAAAAATTTGCCAATTCAGTCGGCTTTGTGTTGAACAAAACAAAAAAAAAAAAAAAACACATGTGTATGCTGTTTGTGATCTCTTCATATAAAATGTTACCACTTGTTACGATTATCGAGATTTTTTCGATTTTAAACATCTAGTTTTCTGAATAAAGTTAAAGAATTAATTTATTAATTAGTTTTTCTTGAATTGAACATGTATTCATGAATTTTAAGATCATAATTAGTAAGAAAAAGATAATTTTAAAATCCTAGTTTTCAAATCTATTTCTACCTTCACCAGCCCTGTTTAGTCAAGAGAGCTTTTGTCCTGAGCTTGTGATCGGTGTCCTCTGAATTTTCTAAATATTGGTCAATTTCTTTTGGTTTTTTTCAACTTTTCAACTAAAAAAAAAAAACAAAATGGGTGGTCATGATCATGGAGATGCAGTGAAAAAGACTTCGATTTCAGATGAAGAAATTCGTAAAATTTTGATACGAGCCAAAGTACAGGTGCCATCGGAATCGCCAAAATTTGCCCATAGTCTCAGTTCAGGTGTTTTACATACATCGATTAAAGGTGCTTATAACAATGAACGTGCTCGTCTTGGACCGAATTTCAACGAAACGGATCGTCAATGGCGTGTAAAATATTTAGAATCACAAAATCTTCATCCATCCGAACCGTTTGAAGTGCCAGAACTTTCAAAAGTTCATTACAATCCTATTCGACGCTTTTATCGTTGGCCATTGGATCAAGTTGAAAAACTGCTCTGCAATTACATGGTTTGATCATTTTTTTTTATTATTAAGAATTTCTAATTCTTAAAAATGTTTTTTTATTTACATTTTCAATTCAGGAAAAACATTATGCTATAACGGCAAGAAAACTAATCGGTGGAACATTGATCGGTTATTTTACCATTTTAACATTATGGTATCAATTGAATTACAATGTACCAAATTGGGAATATAAAAAAGGTTTTCGAATATTTTATACACGTGAAGTAGTACTACCTGGTGATTCTCGTTGGCCAATGCCTAATCCACGAACACAATCATGGCAACATTATGATCTAGATTTTCATCAACGAAAAGCTTTTCGAAATGATTGAATGATCAGAAATTTAATTTTCAAAATAGAAATAAACAACAACAACAACAACAAAAAAAATTAGTAAATCTTTGTACAGCGAAAATTAATTCAACAAAAAAAATCATCACGATTATTATTATTACAAATCGATTGTTGGTTCACTTTTCAAGAATTTAGATAATAAAAAATTCATTTGAAAAATAATAATTCAATCAATCATTGTGATTGATATCATTATCATTGGAAAAAAAACTTTCAATATGATCATAAAATTCCATCGATTATCGAAAATATCATCAATTTGGAACTGGTGTTTAGTTTTTTTTTCATCTGTGTATGTGTGTGTGTGTGGAACTGGGAAAAAATTCCTTTGCACTAATTTTTATTTGGAATTGAAAACAAATTTTTTGAATATTGGAAAATTCATATTCACCAACATACAAAGGATTGATCTAATTCATCGATTATTAGTTTTTTCTGGTGGCCAAAAACACACACACACACACACACCAGGATAATAATACAATTAGCAATCAACCATAACGCTTGGATCGAATGATATTCATTAACAACGACGATGAAGGGAAGAAAAAGTTTTTTTTTCTTCTTCATTTTCATTCTCATTTTTTTTTTTTTTTTTTCATGGATCATGATCCAAACAAATAAGACAATTTTTTTCGTTTATTTGTTTGTTGAAACGTGACAATAAATAGATTCTTCTTTTTGATTTATATGAACGATAATTAGTATCGTTTTTTTTTTTTTTTAGTTTTGGATCATAGAATTTGATCCAAATGAAAAACTAGGTCGTTTGAAGGGGGTGAAAAAAATTAACCAAACGCCATCATACCACTATCTATCTATTTTTAATTTGAATCAAAAAAAAATCTTTGAACCGCGTGCGGTTTTTCGAGATCAGAGAAAAAAAAATAGAGAGAAATAGAAGAAATGATCATTATGGTTTTTGTTTTATCAATCTACAAATCGATAAAATGACCATTGTAAAACTAGCTAGCTACCCATGATCTCATGACCATAGTGTGTGTGTGTGTGTGTGTTCATTCTGGATTTTTTTCCTTTTGGAAAGTTCACACACACACACACAGTAATCATTCAGTATTGTAGATTTTTGGATATATCAAATTGAAATTGAATAAAAATACGCAAACATTTGCCACATGTGTGTGTGTGTGTGTGTGGAATTAATAAATCATTTAAGCCTTTCGTTCATCTATTGTATGACTATGGTGATGGTAGCTGGTTGATTTCACGTTGAAATTTTGTTCTACTAATGGCTGAAAAAAAAATGCTAGCCCATATTTTTCTGGAACGACCGCATGATTCTATGGTATTTTTTCCCGTAGGGGAGGAAAAGGAAATCCTTGAAATAATCAACTAGCGCACATACATACACACACACAGCATGTATGCCCTTATAAATTGTTCACTATTTCGATAATGGTAATATAACCGAACAATCGGAAAAATATCCCGGACAAACAAAAAAAAAAAAAATTGAGATATTCATGTTTAGCTACATAGGAAAAAAACACAATCTACTTACATTGCAAAAAAAAAATTGGTGTCCACCACCAAATATTGGATTCAAAATGGCCAATTGTTTTTTTTTTGTTTCAGGAACAAAAAATAAATTCGTGATCAATATCGTTGTTGAACATATGATGATTATGAATATCATTGAAATTTGTTTTTTTTTTTTTTTTTTTGGTGGGGTGGTAGTAGTGGTGGTTTGTTTAAAATGATAAATGATTATATTGGACCATTGATTTTCAATTGTCATCATCATCATCTTTGTCATCATCATCATCATCATCATCATTATTTGATTTATGATTTACTGGTGGGAAGAGAGAGACAAAGAGAGAGAGACAGAAACAAAAAAACTAAATCATTCAATCTGTCTTCAATCTCACTTGTTTTTACTCACTAATAGTGATAATTTCGACGATTGTGATATTGTTGTTGCTGTTGTTCCACAGTTAACCATCATCATATGAATGTTTCCGGGTGGATCGATTTTTTTTTGTTGCGAATATCCTAGTGAAATGAAATTTTTTTTTTTTTTTTACTTTCAAAGATTTTAAAATCGGATTTTTCAAGTTGTTTTTTTCCCTGTTCTTGGTTATATAGAATTAGACTTTGAATCAAACTTGTTTGATTGTATTTTGATAGGTGGCCATATCTATACAAGGTGAATAGTATCATTTCCATCATTATTATTATTATCATCGTCATCATGGTTCGTTGAAACAATTGGCAGATTTTTTTTTCATTCTTTCCATTCAATTTGGCAGCATTTTATAGTTTATTTTTTCACAAATGCATCCCAATTTTATTATATTTCATCTTTCTCGCCCTTATAATACCAGCCAAATTCAGTTCAACAACAACAATGGATGGATGGATGGATGGATTGAAAACTTTCAAAGAAAAACAAAAGAAAAATTTCTGTCAACAACATTTTGATTTTGTTTTATATTTTTTTGCGCCTTTTTTCCAAAGAACAAGAAATACATTGACATTTGACAAGTTAAATGCAATTTTTGCTGTTGTTGTTGTTGTTTGCAATTTTGAATTTTTTTTTTTTTTTTTTTTGAATAGCAAAAATTTAAAAAACATCCGTCCATCCACACATATATTCATTCATAGCTTTTTGCTTATTGCATTCACAATATTACACATATATTGACATATACGAACAATTGTTAATTTCATTCGAAAGACAAACTTTAACACATTAAAATTCTTAAATTTTTCATTCATTTTAAAAGAAAAAAGAAAGAGAAAAAAACAGATACACACATATATTGTTCAAGGCGAATTTGTCATCATCATCATCAAATGAAATGAAATGAAATACAACCAACAGCAACAATAATCACAAACATTACATTGTGAATGGAACATGAAAAATTGAAATCCACATCCACAAATTATACACATATATCCTACACACACATATCATACACAAACATTTGAAATCATTATATTGTCTTCTTCATTCGATATGATTTTGACAACATCATTAAATATCAAAAAAAAAAATAAAATAACGAAAAGAAAGAGAAATGTCTACCAAATAGGATTTCTACCTGAAAAATGAAAATACAATGTTTTTTCAAATGAAAAAAAAGAATCTTATTCGATTGTAAAACAACAACAACAACAACAACAACTTGTGACACTATAACACACTACTAATACATTGATCGATTACGACTAAAAAAAAAAAAAGGATTCCATTGAATACATTTGCATGTATACAACATTGGCGTGAACAATGAAACGATATTATAATACAAAATACAATACACACACACACACACACACACACACACACACTGGCAGACAAAACTGGCAGATTTGACGGACCTGTCAATCATCAAACAACAGCAAAAAAATGAAAAAATGAAAATATCACAGTTTATGAACTTTTCGTGTGTGTGTGTGTGTGTGTGTTGTGTATTTGGATATTCGTTACTACTTTTTTTTATAGGCTGAAAATATGTAACAAACAAAACGAAAATCATCCCATTGAACCATTTTGACTGGATTTTTTTTTTTTTTTGGTTGGAATTGGAGAAAAAAAATTATTAAATTAAATTTTAACAAAATTTTTCTTTCTCTCACCACAATCAAATAATCAAACACCAATGATGATCGGTCAATCAATCAATGAACAAAACCAATTAGAAATCAATTAGAATTGTTATGTAAATGATTCGAGTACGATTTCAAAATGAATGAATGATGATGATGATGATGATTTTTTTCATAATTTACATCATCATACTTTAAATGATGGTAATTTCAACCAACGAACGAAAAAAAAATTGAATAACTAACAAACGACGACGACGACGACGACGACAAACAACACCTATTTGCCGGTAGTTTTTTTCTGCCCATTCAATTCATTCATTCATTCATCGAGGACATAAATCACTATATGACCGTTTGTAAGCAAACGAATGATCGAGCAAGCAAGCAAACAACAACAACAAAAAAAAAAAATAGTCAACAGACAGACAGAAAACTACACATGTATGGAATGAATGAATTGAATGATGATAAAGTAGACCACATTTGTTATTATGATGAGCCCATCTATCAATCTGAAACCCCCCTCCCCCCAAAAAAAGAGAAAAAAACTTTGGTTTCAATGATCAGATGATGATGATGATGATGATGACATGAAAAGATACAGTTTTTGACAACAGATACATTTAACCAAACTATTTGTCTTGTCACCTTTGTTATTGTCGATTCATTTTTTTTTCTGTGTTCTGGTTGTTGTTGTTGTTGTTGTTGTAACTAGTGTGGGTACCAAAAAAAGTTTTCCTATGATGTCTGTGGCCTGTCTATGGTCATCATCATCATCATCATGGATTGCATATGAAACATGACTGGTTTTTTTTTTGTTTTGGGTAATTTAATTGTACCAAAAAAAAATCTATTGATGATGATGATGATACATTTGGATCATCCATTCGATTTGATGTCCCTGAACGTAATGAAACTCATCGATCATATTTGATTTTGATCTTTGAATGAAAAAAAAAAAATTTTTTTCATGTTTTTCCTATGAGAGTTCTGCTTATATCGCAATGACAATTGTCATCGCAACAACAACATTTAAACATGCAACATTATATCAATCTGATGAAGGTCGACGATCTACTTGCAATCGATAGATCGATTGGTCGAATTTTTTTTTCTTCTTTTGCACTTTAATCATCAACATAAGAGAGAGAGTTACCGTTTTTCGGAAGCAACACCAACAACATAACTTATTACCATGGATATTCTATGGACGAAAAAAAACAAAGAGAAAGACCGCGGTACAGAATATTCGTGCTATAGATAATAATAATAATAATAATAAGGTGAATCATCAGGCAATAATGACGAACTTTAGGTTATGTTTGGGTATATTATGAGAAAAAAAAACTTTCAAAAACTATTATCATTCCTGAATCATCGATAAAATGAAATTATGTTTTGAAAATGAGAAAAATTTTTTTTTTTGTCTTTTTCATTAAACTTTT